TTCCAGAGCCAAAGTTGCCGGATCCGGCTCAGTGCCTGGCACACGCACACACACCGGACCGCGGTTCTGCAGTGGGATGCGCAAGGCTTTGAACACCACATCATAAGAGTTGCGGCATGGTGAGGGGCAACCCAAGGGTCATCCAGTCCAGCCCCTGATCATACAGGGAGAGACCAGCAAGAGCGTCCCTGAGAGGCGGTCCTCCGACGCCTGTTTCAAACCTCCTGCAAAAGGGAATCCGTTCCTTTCCGAGGCAGTCTCCTTATCCCGAAGCAATTAACACTCCTCATTATCGGCTTAAAGGAAGCTGAAAAGTGCAATTTCCAGAGAAATGCAACCGGCATCAATCACCTTCTCCTTTGGCTTTCCCGGATCATTAGTGCCCACAAGGGCCAGCTTGCTTTGGGCCACTGCAGGCCACTGGGCCACCTCCTTTTACTCACCTGCTTTCTCTCTCGCCCAGCGCTCTGGCTTCTGTTTCCACCTGGCTGGCCACTTTCATAGAATCTCCCTCGTCCTGCCTTCTCCGAAGGCTGAACTCAGTGCAGTAGAGGGAGGCAGACCTAGCAGTGGCTCTTTGGAAAGGACCCCATCTTAGAAAAAAGAAGATGCTAACAGAGAGGGGAATCCCGAAACCAGGGAGCTCCCAGGCCTATTTATAGCACCCTGTTTCCGAAAGAGCATCGTCGAAACAGAGCAGATTCATTTTCCCTCCTCCTCATTTTCAGAATCCCTTCCCTTCCTCTCTTCTCTCCTCCTCTTATGGTGGTTCCCTCCCTCCCTTCTCATTCCATCATCCCACGGATGGAGAGCAAACTCATCACTCCCTAAATGGGGATTCTTAGTCGGCCCGAAGGTGCATCTATTAGAGGATTGTATCAGCAAACCTGGGGGAGTTCCAGTCTTTGCAGAAGTACATTAGTTTTTAATTTTTTTAAAAAAAGAGGCTCGCCTTCTCTTCCAGAGAGGTAACCCCATCATGAAATGAGGACCGAGGAGGGTCATCGCCTGCAGCGATGACCGGCTGCCCTAGCAGTCTGCCAGTCTGTCTGACTACATGGCTAGGATCCTGCTTCATATCGGGGGCTGGGAGAGAAAGCCTAGGGAGGGGTGTAGGCAGGTAAAAGTGGGATAAAATTTCTTGTAAAAGGTTATAGCTCACTGGCTCTCCGGCTGGAACCCCAAAGAGGCATACTGTATGGCTCTCAGTTTCTATGTATACGAATAAGGAATGCAAGGGAATTGTAGACTTGCAGAAGTGTACAGTTGGAAAGGACCACAAGAGTTATTTAGTCTGACCAACGGGAGAAAAAACAACCGCTAAAACAGCCCCGAAAGATGGACTCTTAAAACCTTTATCTACAAACCTCCAGAGGAGTTTCCACCACCTTTTAAGGCAGTCTGCTCGAGCGCTTGGGGGGGGGGGCGGCTTTTTGGTTTGGAAGCCAAAGAGGAGGAAGACAAAATGCAGGGAGTGGGGTCTCCACATCTCGTGGGCTTGCTGGGTCTATCCAGCTGTGAGATGGGGGTGGAAAGGAAAAAAATCATGCCTTGAGTCTCCCTCCTGAAGGCGCTTCTGGTCTGGAACCCTATGCAGGTCAGCGAGGGTGGGATTGGGGGGGGGAAAGGACTATTGTGGGGTTTTTTTTGTTGCAAATGTATTGGGTCACCCCTTGCAAAAATGGACCGGATGGCCCACCAAATCTCAGGTTGAACTGGGCTAAATCCAGAATTAGAGAGATCTGTGTTGTCGGACAGCCAAGAACCACGAATTTGCCCCCTTTTGTCCAGAAGGCAATGAACTCGGAGTGGGTCAGATCCACACAAATACAGGCCCTTTGGTTCCAACAGATCTACCCCGCTTGGGATTCACAATTGGGTTCAGCGTATTGTCTCCCAACAATCTCCTATCGTTTCTTCCTTGATGGAATCATGTCATACATACCACAATATGGAAGAAGCATGTTGCTGATATACACGACTATTTGTCGACGCACAAGAGACAGCGGAAAAACAGAAAACTTTCATCCAAGGAGTTCTGGGGTTGTGCTGAAACTTGTGCCACGAGAAGATCATAATCATTGGCCACCGAGGGTCTGATCCTTTCTTCGATTCCACAGAAAACGGCTACTCCTTTCATGGATTTTTTGCTTTCGTTTAAACAAGCACGCTCCTGAAAGGCAGGGATCAACATTCTCGCTAGATGATGCCCGGCTCTAAGACTTTGGGAGAAATCCGGGTCTTTGGCACGGCCCGTGGCTGTGTTGATGGGATAATGGGGTTTGTAGTCCAGCCTATCTGGGGAGCACCAGGGGCCGTACGTGGATCCCTAAAAATGACAGCAATTTTCCACAGGGGTGGTGCATTCTGAGTCCATTGCTCCCTGTCTTTTCCAACCAGAGTAGTCCTGGTGGTTTATCCAAATCCTTTCCAGGCCTTTCTAAGGAGCTCTGCTTTCCAGCCAGCTGCGTGGTTTGGAAGCCAATACCTTGTATTTTAATCATGTACAAGGAGTTGGGGGTTTATGTGCTGGAATCTTGCACTATCGGTTGAAGGGAAAAGGCCTAAAGCTCCTGATTTTGCAAGGGTTTCTCTCTCTCTCTCACACACACACACACAAAGGTAGGTCTGAAAATACAATGCATCTGACTTAGAAGGAACTTTTCAGAGGAACACTTGATCGCATGAACAGACACCCTGCATTGCAGAACACTGTAATTGCATAACAGTTTTTTTCCCCTCTTTGGAATCGGCTGTTTCCAGCATCTCCCCTTTTCAATGCAAAAGCATCAAATGCAAGGGCCAACACAATAACCACCCAGTGATCTTGGTGTGTGTGTGTGTGTCTATTCCTTTCCTTCCCCCTTCTCTCTCTCTCTTTTTGGCAAGCTTCACAGCCCACCTGGAAGAAGAAGTACAGCCGGCGAAATGCCCTCCCTGCTCGTTGGCAAGCATCACAGCCCACCTGGAAGAAGACGTACAGCCGGCGAAATGCCCTCCCTGCTCGGCAGCTTCCAAAGCGAGGCTGAAACATCCAGACTCGAAAGAGTTATTTGCATCATCCCAGCTTTCTTCCCTTATATGGAATGAGAGATTGGGTAAAAAGTGAGTTACCTAATTTACGTAACCTCTCGGGGTGGGGAGAGGGAGAGAAGAGGAAAAAAAAGAGGAGAACTTCTCAAAAATAGGAGACAGAGAGCTGTCACTTTAGCTTCAGTTGCTCTAGCAACCAAGCAGCCAGAAAAAGATACCTTCCCCCCCTTTTTTCATCTCCCTTTCCATCCCCTCCCTCTCCGAAGCCTATTTCTTGCCTATAGAAAAGTGCTGTTGAACACTTGCTTTTATTTATTTATTTATTTATTTTATATCCCACCTATCTGGTTGTGTGAGGACCACTCTAGGCGGCTAACAACATAAAACATAATACAGAAAATATACATATAAAACAATTTTACATTACCAAAAATACCGAATTAGAATGGGAAAGCTGTGGGAAAGGGGAAAAAAAAGGGCGTCAGGAATTATCTGATGGGAAGGCCTGCCTAAACATCCATGTTTTTAATTGATTCTTGAAAATACCCAGCGAGGGAGCCGCGCAAATCTCAGGAGGTAAGTTGTTCCAGACGCGAGGAGCCACCGCCGAGAAGGCCCGATTTCTTGTCTTTTCCTTCTGGGCCTCCCTCGGCGTCAGGCTCCTCAGCCTCACCTCCTGGCTCGCATGAGTGACACAGGTAGATCTTGGTGGGAGAAGGCGTTCCACCAAGTATCGAGGTCCTAAACCGTTTAGGGCACCTGACAGCGGCTGACAGCTAATTCTCAGCATTTCTCACACCGGATCCTTCTGAAATCCAGAAAGAGTAGGCTATGGGCACCTCCCAAAGTCTAAGCTGGAAATGAGAAAAGTGGCTTAAAAAAAAACGACAACTACACGTGGATTTTTCGGAATTTACAGATTGCAGCCCTCAAAAGTCAGGCTGTACGGGATTTCTACAGATTTCTGGTGGTTGTAGTTCATGCATTCCGAAATTCCCGCACCAGTGACCAGGCTTTCCCCATCTCCGGTCCAGATAGAGGACTGGGCAATGCCGAAGGATCAGACTGTTATTGACTTCATAACCAGTCTCTGAAAGAAGCCTTAAAATCAAATTGTCAGCCATGGATCAACTGTGTAAGGGTGGACGGACAGATGGAAGGAAGGAAGGTGTTGGATGGATGGATGGATGGATGGATGGATGGATGGATGGATGGATGGATGGATGGATGGATGGATGGATGGATGGATGGATGGATGGATGGAAGGATGGATGGAAGGAAGGAAGGAAAAGAAAAAAGGAGAAGGGGAAGGGAGGGAGGGGAAAAATAGCAACCTATGAAAAATTTGAGACAGCAACCCCTGGTATGTGAGAAGGAAAGAAAGAAAATAGATTGGAGCTGAAGAGTGAATCTCTGAGTCTGGGAGGGAGGGAGGGAATGGAGCAGAAAAGAGTGGGCCTGAGAGTCGACCAAGATAAGTCAATTCTCTCAGAAAAAAGGAGAAGGGGAAGGGAGGGAGGGGAAAAATAGCAACCTATGAAAAATTTGAGACAGCAACCCCTGGTATGTGAGAAGGAAAGAAAGAAAATAGATTGGAGCTGAAGAGTGAATCTCTGAGTCTGGGAGGGAGGGAGGGAATGGAGCAGAAAAGAGTGGGCCTGAGAGTCGACCAAGATAAGTCAATTCTCTCCTCTGCCTGCTTCATCTCCTAATTCGGCGCAGTGTTTCTTTGGCTGCCTCCTCCACTCCCCCCCCTTCCCTCACCACGTCATTCAGGAGCCAGTGACGTAGGGTTCCCCCAAGCCCAAAGAAGGGAGGGGGGGAGCCACTCTGCAGCCATGTCCCTCCATTGATCTGAACAAATCTTCCCGCCCCACTTTCCTTAACATGCAAGTGCCCACACTCTCGACAGCCTATAAAAGATGGAAGGCAGGCAGAGGCTCTCTCAACAGATCCACAGGCAGGCATCCGAGGCAGAGGAGAAGAGAGGAAGAGAGCAAGCCAGACAGACACACACAGAGGGAGAGACCAGGAACGCAGAGAGACGGCGGAGCGCTGGCCGCACGGAGCCTCGCCGGCAGCCGAGATGTACCGGTCCACGAAGGGAGCCTCCAAGGCGCGGCGGGACCAAATCAATGCAGAGATCCGAAACCTCAAGGACCTGTTGCCGATCGCCGAAGGGGACAAACTCCGGCTGTCCTACCTGCACATCATGTCGCTGGCGTGCATCTACACGAGGAAATCCATCTTCTTCTCCAAAGGTAGGTACGAGAAGTCTTTCCGGGGTGGTTGGCCGGGGTGGCAAGGGAGAAAGGGGGTGTCCAAGGTTGGGGGTGGGTGGGAGGACCAAAGTTAGGAAAAGGGGGTCACTGGTTGGGAGTATTTCCCCCCTTGTTTTGCTCAACAAGTTGCTCTCCATGGTGCTGAAAGCTGAAATAGACCTGTCAATGGCTGGATTCAGTGGCCGCTGTCCGTGGTGCTGAAACAAAAATGCAGGGACCTTTGTTTTGGGTTGACAGAACTCAACAAGTTGCTGTCCATGGTGCCGAAAACAGACCTGTGAATGGCTGAGCTCAGTGGCCGCTGTCCGCGGTGCTGAAACAAAAATGCAGGGACCTTTGCTTGGGGGGGCAGCTGGCGTTGCTGTCCAGAGTGCTGAAACAGTCTCCCGACCCCCCCAGTCTTCTTAGCCACCACTATGCTATCCGCCGCACATCCTTATACACCTGCAAGAGCAGATTTTGCTTGCTTGTTTGTTTGCTAAAGAAGCTTCCCCTCAAGACCCCCCTTCTCTTATTTCTCAACAGGTGCAACTCCGGAAAGCTTGGAGAGCTTGCTCTCTACCCAAGACTTGGACGATTTCATGCAGTCCCTTCCGGGCTTCCTGCTGGCTTTCACGGGAGAAGGCAAACTCATCTACGTCTCGGAGAACGTGGCCGAACACCTCGGGCACTCTATGGTATGTGTCTCGCCCAGCCCGCCAGGGTGGAAAGTAACGGGAAACAGGGGGAGGAGGGAGAGAAGAAACAGCTTTACTCTAAAACAAGGAAACGGGACCACCCTTTCCCTACTTAGGTGTTAAGGAGTCTTGTTTAACAGATTCCTGTTTTTGAGACGAGCAGTTCTGCCCTTGTGATACGCATGACGAGTGCTTTAGCAACCTTCTCTGATGGCCTTCTCCTTCTTCAACCTCAGGTGGATCTGGTGGCCCAAGGAGACAGCATCTACGACATTATTGACCCAGTGGATCATTTTGTGATGAGGAACCAGTTGGCCTTGCCTTCTCCAATGGATACCGGTAAGCATTCCTTTGTAAAACAGAGGCCTGCTCTCGGACAACTTGTAGAGGAAGCTGGAAATCTGGATAAGAGAGGGAGTGGATGATAAGTTGATGAGAGGGATGCCTAAGCAAGGTTAATTTGAATCGTAATGGCTCAGCCCTAAAAGTTTTGTTCAGGGATTGGGGCCCAGCCTTGGAGCGAAATGAGCAGGAGTGAGAATGGTCTTTCTCTCACCACTGATGAACCCAAGTCAGCTCTAGATTCTTGAGGTTTAGGGGAAGGAGCTTGTAGATCAGAGGACTAGATTCCAGTAAGAGTCACGCAGAAGATCTTTCTGTTTTAGAAGTTAAGCCCTGAAGTCAAGGTAGAGAAGCAAGGTCTGTTGGAGAGATTGCAACTGTGGAGCAAATGTACCAGCTGGGTTATCTCTCTGTGGCATTCCTGACCTCTCTGTATTTCTTTCTTTCTTTCTTTCTTTGAAAATGCTCCTCCGGCTCTTCCGTTGCCATTTCAATACTTCCAAGACAATCAGGCGTCAAAGCGCAGGAAACAAACTGGTCCTGATCCGAGGGAGGTTCCACCAGCCCCCGCCTGGCTCCTACTGGTCCAGCAACCCCGTCTTCACAGCTTTCTGCACCCCTCTGGACCCCAAACCCAGAGTCGGCCAGAACTCCTTCTTCTTGTCTTCTTTTGAGAGCCGCCACACGAAAGATCTGGCCATTGTGGACATCTCTGAAAGGTGAGGCATTGTTTTTGGGGAATGTGCAGGGTTGGAATCTTGGGATGTGAAAGAATTCAGAAAAACAATGATAGAAAAGGCATGGATATTTACCTATCCCTAAAAAGCAAAGAGTTCATCAATTCGATCTCTGTTGCTCAAAAACACTGAGCGTTCCTCTTCTTGACTTCTTTTAGTGTGATGTTCTACTTGGGTTTTGAGAAAAGTGAACTGTTTTGCAAATCCTGGTACAGCCTGATTCATCCAGAAGACTTGAGCCATGCCTCCACTCAGCATTACCGGCTGTGTAAGTATCTTATTGAGTTCTCCAATCTTCTCATCCCATTTTCTGGACCCGGCAGGGTGGTGGTAGAATCCAGCAGCCACCTATTTAAATTGTGGCTACTGCTTTCGCTGAAACCAGAAAGCTAATCTTTCCCTTGCGCGCTTCTCTCTGCAGTGGGTGACACGAGTGGAACTCAGGCTGAAATGGTCATCCGGCTTCAAACCAAAGAGGGCGTTAACTGGATATGGATATATTCACTGCTCCACATGGAGAATTCTGACGTTTCTATCACCAGTCACAACTATATAATCAGGTAGGCATCAAGAGGGCAACACTCTCGCTGTACAGATGGATTGGGACCCAAGTGACTTAGTTAGGCAAGAAGTAGAATTTCCAAGATTTTGTCTCAATCCCTGCTGCTGAGGTTCTACTCTGAGAAGCAAATGGCCAAAGTAGATCCTCAGGAATGTCAAGGAGAGAATGGGTTGGGGGCGTGCGCCTTAGAAAAATGTAGACTCTGGGAATCAGGAAGGATAAAACAGCGCAAGCATCCTAAGCACAAAGAAAAGCTTGCCTTCGTTTTTAATCTTAATAACCTTTGAAATAATCGCTTGGGCTATACGGAGTAAAAACAAAGTCGCCACTAGCCTCCCAGTAGAGTCATGAGAACCCATCCCCACAATAGCTTCTTGAAAATGCAGGGAATCAGATCATTTAGGGGGTAAAAGCTGGTCACTGTGCAGATGGGAGAGAGGGACTTGGTGAGGCCTCATCCAGCAAAGGGGAGGGGAGGAGAGACGGGTCTATGTGCCCACCAAGGAGTTTGTAGTTCCGTGTCTTGTAAGGGGGAAGGAGAGAATGAAAAACAATTAAGATGTGAGGGAGGGCTGTTGCTAAAGTGTTACCTTTCGGCTTTGCGCCGGCCGTGTTCCCCGGAGACGTTCCACTCATCTTCCTCCTCTCTTCCCTTTCTCCAGTGACTCCGAAGCCTGGTGCCTCAAGCAGCAGCTGTCTGCTGAAGAAACCCAGGTGGCTTACACCCTCGAAAGCACCCCGGCCTTCTTGGAAGGCCTTCTCTCCCCAGGGCAACTCTCCAGCCCGGATCAAGTCTTTACCCCCGCGGCCGGCACCCCGACCAGCACTGTGGTTGCGCCGTCGTTCGATTTCGGGGCCGCCGGCAGCGCAGAAGGCCCCTCTGCCGCCTTCCTGGATCCCTTGGCGGAAGCTCTGCCCCGAGAGGTGATGGAAACATCTGGAAATATCTCCTCCGTGGAGGAGCACACTCCTGGTTCCACCGTCAGCCTCCCTGGCAAGGGCCCCCTGTTCGGCTACGTCCTCTTCCCGACAGCCTACGAACAGACTTTGCGTCGGGAGAACCTCAGCGGCTCTTCCTCCAAAGATTTCGTCTGCACTCCTCCTTATACACCCCACCAGGGATCGGCCTTCCTGTTCGGGGCCCAGGAAGCGTACACCCCAACGTCTGCCTCTGCCGCCATGACTTCCATGACCACCACCTTTCCCACGGCAGCCGCTGCCACGCCTGCTGCCGCCACCACCACCACTGCCTCCTCCTCCTCCACCACCACCACGCCCGAGATGTTCTACACCCAAGAACAATGCAGTGCTCTCTATGAGAAGTTACCGCCCACCCCGGACAGCCCTGGTAATGGGGACTGTACCGTCATGACCTTGCCAGAGATCAGAGGTCCCCTCTACGTAGACGTGCCCATGGTGCCCGAGGGGATCCTGACGCCGGAGGCCTCCCCCATCAAGCAGACCTTCTTCAGATATTCTGAAAAAGAGAAGAACGAGATCGAACGGCTGACTCGGCACATCAGCAGCCTGGCCGAAGCGTTCGGCTCCGTCGCCTCCCGAGAGCTCGCCAAGAACGCCCCGGTGACTCTGGAGGGTTCGGATCCGGCCGTGGCCCCCGAGCTGTGCCTGGACTTCCAGCCTGCCAAGAACTGGAGGAGCCTTGACTTCTCCTTGTTGACCTGTCCGGAGGACGACCTCCTGGAAGAGGACGCTCTCGAGACCCTTCTCCAAGACCTGTCTGCCTCTTTGTTCGAGAAAGCTGGCGCAGGTCTGAGGTGCTCTCGCCACCCGTTCTGCGGTGTGAATGTCAGTAGTCCAATGGGTTTGGACACCGAAGATAGCAACCCCGGGGCCTTGGCTCCTTCGCCCAGCCTGGGCCTGCCTCCTCCAGAAGAGCAAAGCTTTTTGGAAGAACTGGCCTCTTACGAAACAGCCTTTGAGACATGTGCCTCAAACTCTCCCTGTGACGGGTTAGATGAGTTGTATCAACTCCAGAGCCACGCGCAAGAGGGCTTCCATGAAGGTAAGCAAGGAGGGCCAACCCTGAGGGAGGGATGTTTCGGGCTCGTGGGTTGGGTGTCGGTTCCATGCTCATAAGGTCTCAGATTCAATTCCCAGCCTTTCCAGAGGAAATGTGTCGCTTGAAATTCTTTTCGGAAAAACAACCCTCCATTAGTGTAGTAGAATAATCAGCATGATGACTTGATAATGGACAGCTTTATATACAGTGGGGCCTCGCAAGACGATTGCCCCAGAGGACAAAAAACCCGCAAGACGATTGGTTTTAACGATCCCTATGGTGCCTCGCAAACGGTTTTTTCTATGACCATGCTTCGCAAGACTTTCCCCCCCAATACCAACGCTTTGCAAGATGAATAAATTTCATTCGTCTTATGAGGTTCCCATAGGGAACCTTGCAAGACAATTTTTTTCACAAGACAGCAATTTTCGCGGAATGAATTAAAATCGTCTAGCGAGGTGGCGGCCATTTTGGAACCCCCGATCAGCTGTTTAAAAAGTTCACTTTGCCATGATCGTTCCCCCGCAATCATCGCAAAGCAAATTTTAGCCATAGGGGCCATCGCTATGCGATCGCTCCAGCGATGGCCAGAAGTCCATTGCAAAGCAATTTCATCGCTCAACGGAGCGATCGCTAAGCGAGGCACCACTGTATTCCTAAAACCATGGGTTTCATCCACAAGTGAGAGGACAGACTCCCCAAATGTAGATACGTTTTGTTTATTCTGCAGCCCCACTGTATTCTTTTGTCTCAATCCGTAATCCATCCCCTATTCCATTTCTTTTTTAGAAAACAAGTTTCTAGTCCCTAAAGTTAGGAATAAGGAGGTGCAAAGCATGTGGCTGAGTTGTTCTTTTAGAAGGTTTGCCGCCAATTAACCCGTTGCCTCTTTGCTTTCTGTTTCTTCTACAGATGGAAGCGAAAGTGACCCTTCGTTTTGAAATAAGTCCATGACTTAACTTTTCTAAAGTATGGCATATTGTCATATCTCAAGGACCTTTCTTTCACCGAAAGCCCTGGGAAACATTCCAAGAAAGAAGCAGGAGGATGTCTTTCCGCGCATTCTGAACTGGGGGTTTTCGGAGGAAAAGACTCTTTTTTTGTGTATGTTTTTTTAAAAAAAATAATAACAAAAGCAAAAAAAAAGAGATATGTCTATCTTGATTCTAAGACATCGACGTTAGGCTAGCTGATCAGAGCTAAGGGAAGGACCATCGTAAGTGGACTTTCACATCTTACTGTATTCACTCGTAGTGAGTAATCTTATATGTAATTTATGAAGAAACACAAGGTGGGGGGGGCGTGCGTCAAGCTGCGTCCAGTGGCCATTCAACACAGTTGGAGCGAAGCACCTGCGTAGCCAGTTTGCGCACGATTTGGGGATCCCTCCTCTTCCGATCCGACCCCCCCGCCCAAGTGAACAGGACGTGTAGGTGGTAAATAGAACCTACTCTAGTAAGAGCCAATGGCTGGTGATTGTGATATTATAATATTGCTTTTTATTCCTTGCGGCCATCGAATTTCGGTTTGCAAAGAAGTCTTCTTAAAGATCTGAGCTTTGGCTTGTCCATTTCCGAAGGGGTTTCTTTCTTGATCTTTCCCTTAACGTCTTGGCTTTTGTTGTGTTTTGGAATGGCTCTGGGAGACGGAAGCTTTAACCCATCCTGACATTATTGGACAGGAAAGCTGTGTTTGAGTAGCATTCCAGGAGTTTTTCTAGCTGTTTAAACAGTTGCATAACTTTTGTTTTTTTGGTGCTGCCTCGGTGTTTGGTCGCTCAAGTGACTAGTCCTGCAATTCATCCGTGCAAACCTCTGTCAACCTGGACTTTGCAACTGGTTCCAGAATGGGTTGCTCAGATGGAAATGCCATTGCATCTGTATTGTGCAGGAGCAGATACCCCGTTATTGACTTCAGAGGAATGGCACAGCTGGATAACAATGACTGTTAACTACAATCCTAAACTCGATTACTGGGTTTCTATGGGGCTTCCCTCTGAATCTCCATGAGTAAGATGGTCCTGGTAACCTTCTCTAATTTCTGAGTGCTGGAGCTGGCAGAGAGAACAGCTGCATTTAAAATGCAAGGAAAGGAAATTCTAGCCCTCCAGATGTTTAACAGACTATAATTCTCACATCCCTCATTCTTGACTTAACTGTTGCCATTGTTGAGAGGTACCGTATTTTTCTGCGTATAAGACGCCCCCTCCACTTTTCTAACCCAAAATTAAGAAATCTAAGTGGGGGTTAACAAGTGGAGGGGAAAGCAGGGATCAAAGTGCTGCAGGATCGCTTTGATCCCTGCTTCCCCCTCCACTTGTTTTTGTTCTCTCCTCAGCTTACTTCCGTGTATAAGACGACCTTCAATTTTTAGTCTAAAGATTTTAGACAAAAGTATAGTATTTCATGATTGATGATGATAATGATGATGATAACAACAACAACAACAACAACAACAACAACTGAAGCACAGAGAATGGTGATGATAACAACAACAACAACAACAACAACAACAACTGCAGCACAGAGCATGGTGCTGAGAATTAATGCTTCCATCCTACGACTGCAAATCAGCAAGTCGTCCTGCCTGCACAACGCCATTCATTAATAAATTCCCTTCTCAGGCAAAAGATCAAGAGCAGCCTCATTTTGACACTCGATATGCACAGTAAAGGCTCTGGTGGGTTGTTTTTTTTTTAATGTTGCAACCAAAGCTCCTTTTAAATCTATTTTATTGCAAATGTGGGCTGAGAGCCTCTGTCGATTCCTCCCTTACCCAAATGTGTCTTCCTAGCTTTCAGCAAAAAATCATCCCGAAAGAAAACTCATCTGTCCTGGACAAGCCAAAGCGTTTTCCTGTGCTAACAGGATCTGCCCTCAACGCGGTCGCCCGTGTGAGCTCCTTGGAATGATGTTTGTTTTCCAGAATCCCAAAACTTCCCCGAAGCAGGCCGCTGGGGAGGGGGGGAAGGGCTGTAGCTCAATGGTAGAGCACGTGCTTTGCTAGTTAAAGGGTCCCGGGTTTGAATCCTGGCACAGCTGGGAACAAACCCCGTCTGAAACCCAGTGGGAAACCACTGCAGCCCAGTCTAGACAACACCGAACGGGAAGTATGGGCCAATTGCTTGATTCAGTACAGTGGTGCCTCGCTAGACAGTTACCCCGCATGACAGTTTTTTCTCTAGACATTCACTTTTTGTGATTGCTATAGCGATTCACAAAACAGTGATTCCTATGGGGGAATTTCGCTGGACAATGTTTGGTCCCTGCTTCGCAAACCGATTTTCGCTAGATGACGATTTTGACAGCTCCCTCCGCACTTGCAAAACGGTTGTTTTGGGGACCTAAGCTTCGCAAGACAACTATTTAAACAGCTGATCGGCGGTTCGCAAAGCAGCTTTCCTATGGCCGATCTTCGCTTGACAACGATTCTTCCCCATTGGAATGCATTAAACAGGTTTCAATGCATTCCGATGGGGAAATGCTTTTTGCTAAATGATTTCGCTAAACAGCGATTTCAGTGGAACGGATTAGCATCGTCTAGCGAGGCACCACTGTACAAAGCAGCTTCCCATATTCCAACCACAGCTGGGTGGTAGAGGTAGACACACACTGGTCTAGAGGATAGGATGGATCAGAAATGTTTATAGATATAAACACCAATGGCAATCTGCCATGGACTATATTTTAAGCCTTTATTTTTGTACAGGAGCTTATGAGACCCTCTTGGATCCTGTCGTTGCGTTTGTTCTGAACACAAACGTAGGGATTGGATGTATAGAGATTTGTCGCTTCCCCCCTTCCTCTCTTTCCTTGTGGTTTTGTTACAATGCAAATATTTGAGACGGGGACACCCTCTTTCCGTCCTATGGAGACGGCGATGCCCTCACTCAATGTAGAATTCTCTATGACCGAGTATCGCGCTCGGATCCTTCGAAAGAAGTTGTAAATTTGCACATTGTCCAAATGTGGGATGTCGTAAGCGAGAACAATAACAACGCATCCGTAGTGTGTCCTTTGTTTAACACCGGAAATGACAACTGGGTGTGCTTTTTCCTGTTAAAAGTCAAACAAACATCTGTCTATACTTGAACATGAGTGGAATTTTGTCACCTGGATGTTTGTGTTGTGTGAAGTCTTGACCCCTTCCTGGGTCTGGCTGTGAACATTTTGGAATAAAAGTAAAATATGAAATTGTGAAAAAGTGTAGTGTTGTTTTTAGGAACTCTGAAGGCCTGGCATTTACTGGCATGATCTAGCTCTCCTCAAGTGGAAGAAAGGGGGAAAAAACAGGTATTACATTTCATAAAACATCCTTGGCATCGATAGATTTGCAATTCTCTTGAGAAGCAAAACAGCCAAAGGTGTTAATTTGAGGACTATCCACCTAACCTTAGGGGGACATTCCTAGTTCCTGACAATCTATAGTTAAAAGAAGGGTCAACGATCAGGAGATGGGAAAGATTCTTCCTCTGTCTGAAATCATGAAGAGCTGATATCAGTCAGGGAGGTTAACATTGTTTTAGAGGAATAAGGTGTTTGAGTTTGCTCCGGACGGTCAGAAAAATCCAGAAGTGGAGCAAATCAAGCCTGAACGAACTCCAGGGGCATAAAAAAAATGCTGAAATAAGAGGCTGTCCTACTTTGGACACACGACGAGAAGTCTGGATTCTCTAGGAAAAACAATAATGCTAGGGAAAGTAGAAGGCAGCAGGAAAAGAGGGAGACCCAATAGAAGATGGTCTGACTCCTTAAAGGAAGCCACAGACGAGTTTGCAAATGCGGAGGTTGGCTGCTGAGGACATTTTGGCCACTCATTCATAGCCACATCATCATCATCAACAACACCGGCAACAACGACAATGGTGAAGGGCTGCTAGGCTGTCCTACAGAGGAGGGGCAGGATCCGTTCTCGATCCTCCCAGAATGCAGGACACATCATGATGGGCTCAAGTGTCAGGAAGCCCAAATTTCGGTTGAATATCAAGGAAAACTTCTTAACTGTTAGAGCCGTACGACGACGGAGCCCATGATGGCCTCAGGACGTGGCGAGCGCTCCAACCCTGGAGGCCTTAAAGACGAAATGGGACCGCCGTCTGCCCCAGCTACTTTGCTCCCTGCATTTAAGCAAAGGGATGGACTTGATGGCCTTTATAGGCCCCTTCCAACTTCGCTTTTCTATGATTCTATGCTAATGTCACACCTCTCGTCTCTGATACCAGTGCCAAACCTCCCTTTGCCTCGTCACTAAACTATTTGGGCAATGATCTCTTTAAATCAACATAGGAATAAACCCATGCATTTCAAACCATACCCTCACCCTCGTAATATACCGTTTGGACAAATTAAAGGAAGGATATATTCACAGAGTTTGACCATGGGGTTCCCTGACGGAAGATGACCTGATCGTGGCCAATGTACAGTGATGCCTCGCAAGACGAAAATAATTCATTCTGCGAGTCATGTCGTAGTGCGAAAATTTCGTCTTGCGGATTTTCCCATTTTTCTATCCCGATCACATGAGATAGGCCAAAGTCTCGGAGCCTCCGCTTCAGGATCTGTCCTTCCAGGGAGCACTCAGGGTTGATTTCCTTCAGAACGGATAGGTTTTGTTCTCCTTGCAGTCCAGGGGACTCTCAAGAGCCTCCTCCAGCACCACAATTCAAAAGCATCGATTTTTCGGCGGTCAGCCTTCTTTATGGTCCAGCTCTCTTTCCATTCCCACGACCGTTCTGCCCTCTGCCGGCTCCGGAGATGAAGGCCACCTGAGAGAAGCCGCAGGATGCTCTCTGACTTGGCGGGAACAAGGGGGCGAACTTCCTTTTTCTCAGCCTTCCGGGGCTGAAATGTGCCAGGCGACGGGATTGTAAGGTAAGGAGATAAAGGCATGGCGTGAGGGTGGGAAGCAAGGATCCTTGTCTTCTACCAAGGCCCAGTTTCCAGGGGTCACCAGAAGAAGTCAGGTGGGAGCAGGATGGAAATGACAGAATTCACTGCAAACTATTTAATGGACTTAGCAGAATTTCATTCTTCCCACGTAGCAAACGTTTCGGCTCAAGCTGAGCACGTAAAACCGAGCACACGGCCTCCGTCTCCACCCGCTTTGTTCCCTTCCTTCTGTTTTATACTGGAAGCTCCTTTGGGGCAGAGACCTCTCTGTTTTTGTTCTGTAAGAGGCCAGCCCACCCCGTGTGCTGTCGTCATGATACGGAACCGAAGCTCTCGATGAAAGGAAGTCCCCTCTCTGAGGCCAGCCTCAAGCAGGGTTTCCGGAGCTGGTGTCTTTTAGGTGTTTTGGACTACAGCTCCCACCATCCCCTGTCTATGGGCCACAGTGGTCTGGCAGAAGGAGAGCCAACCCCCCCGCCCCATAATTATAATTCAGATTTGCACTTATTTATTTTTATTACAGTATTTTCTACTTTTAGCTCTCGCCAAGAGCTCAAGTTGGCACGTGTGGTTCTCTTCTTCCTTTTCCTATCTTCTCAACAACCCTGCGAGGTAGGTGGGGCCGAGACTGGCCCGGCCCAAGGCCAAACAGGGAATTGCACGACCCACTGGGGAGCTGAAGTCCTAATCCTACACTCTAACCATGACACTGCATGACCAGCTGCGCCACATAGACCGCTGCATTACTGCTGCATGCGGAACTCATGGACACCGGATGTGCCAATGACATTAACAGGGAATCCAGCAGCCTTGGGTGAGAGGATAAGCCGGGTGAAGCCTGCTTCTTTCTGATGAAGGGTGCCTCTGAATGTCAGCTGTTTGGAAGGAGGGGGGGAAAAGCAAGATCCCTTTTTTCAGCCATCGGCGTGCGCCCTTGACCAGCCGCGACACCTCA